GGGTCGAAATGACAGCCAGGGAACTACTATGCTCAGAAGGAAGTTGTCCAAAGAAGAACAGGTATTTATCTGAGTGGAGCCTGAAGGTTTCAAAAAAATGACAGCCAGGGAACTACTATGCTCAGAAGGAATTTGTCCAAAGAAAAACGGGTAATTATCTGATGATGAGCGTCAAATGACATGTCTATGAGTAGAAGTCCAAAGAAGCTGTCTGTTGACATTTTGTCCCCTCACCCACCCAAGATGCAAAACAATGGCTACCTGTGAGTCACCACAAATTTCACCAGGGAAAAAGCTCAGAAAATCTCCCAACCATTGGACACATGACCCCCACCTTAGTAGGACGACTGGACGTCTCCCCACGGATCAGAGGTCACCCAGGATCAGAGTCCCCTCAGCCACCCAGGATGCAACAATGGAGTGGTCACCAAAAATTTCACAGAGAAAGAAGTCTCACCCGGGGTGAGTAAACCTCGAGGGTCAAATTAGACAGCCAGGGAACTACCATGCTCAGAAGGAAGTTGTCCAAAGAAGAATGGGTATTTATCTGAGTGAGGCCCGAGGGTCGAAATGACAGCCAGGGAACTACTATGCTCAGAAGGAAGTTGTCCAAAGAAGAACGGGTATTTATCTGAGTGAAGCTCGAGGGTCAAAATGACAGCCAGGGAACTACTATGCTCAGAAGGAAGTTGTCCAAAGAAGAACGGGTATTTATCTGATGGTAAGAACGTCTAAGGGTAGAGGTCCTGCTGTCTGTTGACAGGTCCCCTCACCCACCCAAGATGCAAGCAATGGCTACCTGTGGTCACCAAAAATTTCACAGAAAAGAAATCTCCCAACCATTGGACACATGACCCCCACATTAGTACTCTGGACGACTGGAGGTCTCACCCAGGGATCAGAGGAGCCCCAACCAGGTGTCGAGAGACTGGAAGTCTCACCCAGGGTGAGTGAAGCTCGAGGGTCGAAATGACAGCCAGGGAACTACCATGGTCAGAAGGAAGTTGTCCAAAGAAGAACGGGTATTTATCTGAGTGGAGCTCAAGGGTCGAAATGACAGCCAGGGAACTACTTAGAATGAAGTTGTCCAGAAGGAAGTTGACCAAAAAAGAACGGGTATATTATCTGATGGAAAACGGACGTCGAAAGGATAGAGGTCCTGCTGTCTGTTGACAGGTCCCTCTCACCCACCCAAGATGCAACAATGGCTACCTGTGGTCACCAAAAATTTCACAGAAAAAGAAATCTCCCAACCATTGGACACATGACCCCCACTTTAGTACTCTGGATGACTGGAGGTCTCACCCAGGGATCAGAGGAGCCCCAGCCAGGTGTCGAGAGACTGGAAGTCTCACCCAGGAGTAAGTGAAGCTTGAGGGTCGAAATGACAGCCAGGGAACTACTATGCTCAGAAGGAAGTTGTCCAAAGAAGAACGGATATTTATCTAAGTGAAGCTCGAATGGTCGAAATGACAGCCAGGGTAACTACTATGCTCAGCTCAGAAGGAAGTTGACCAAAGAAGAATGGGTATTTACCTGATGGTAAGAACGTCTAAGGGTAGAGGTCCTGCTGTCTGTTGACAGGTCCCCTCACCCACCCAAGATGCAACAATGGCTACCTGTGGTCACCAAACATTTCACAGAAAAAGAAATCTCCCAACCATTGGACACATGACCCCCATCTTAGTACTCTGGACGACTGGAGGTCTCACCCAGGGATGAGTCTCCTCACCCATCAGAGGAGCCCCAGCCAGGTGTCGAGAGACTAGAAGTCTCACCTAGGGGTGAGTGAAGCTCAAGGATCGAAATGACAGCCAGGGGACTACTATGCTCAGAAGGAAGTTGACCAAAGAAGAATGGGTACTTATCTAAGTGAAGCTCGAGGGTCGAAATGACAGCCAGGGAACTACTATGCTCAGAAGGAAGTTGTCCAAGGAAGAACGGATATTTATCTAAGTGAAGCTCGAGGGTCGAAATGACAGCCAGGGAACTACTATGCTCAGAAGGAAGTTGACCAAGGACGTCGAAGGATAGAGGTCCTGCTGTCTGTTGACAGGTCCCCTCACCCACCCAAGATGCAACAATGACTACCTGTGGTCACCAAAAAATTTCACAGAAAAAGAAATCTCCCAACCATTGGACACATGACCCCCACCTTAGTACTCTCGGATGACTGGAGGTCTCACCAGGGATCAGAGGAGCCCCAGCCAGGTGTCGAGAGACTGGAAGTCTCACCCAGGGGTGAGTGAAGGCTCGAGGGTCGAAATGACAGCCAGTGAACTACTATGCTCAGAAGGAAGTTGAACCAAAGAAGAACGGGTATTTATCTGAGTGGAGCTCGAGGGTCGAAATGACAGCCAGGGAACTACTATGCTCAGAAGGAAGTTAACCAAAGAAGAACGGATATTTATCTAAGTGAAGCTCGAGGGTCGAAATGACAGCCAAGGAACTACTATGCTCAGAAGGAAGTTTGACCAAAGAAGAACGGGTATTTATCTGATGGTAAGAACATCTAAGGGTAGAGGTCCTACTGTCTGTTGACAGGTCCCCTCACCCACCCAAGATGCAACAATGGCTACCTGTGGTCACCAAAAATTTCACAGAAAAAAGAAATCTCCCGAGCATTGGACACATGACCCCCATCTTAGTGCTCTGGACATCTGAATGGACCCACAAAGCCTTCCTTTTCTGGGGTAAATGCTCCAGCACTACAAAGAATGATCATTTTCCAGGCTTCATGGCACCAACTCGTTTAAAACGTATCAGAGCTCAGATTGAGGTGCTTGCTGCCCGCTGGCAACCCTAACCAACACCAAGATGGCGGCACAGCCAGTTTGGGCTGCATCTATAGATAGCCTAAGGTTCCTACAGTATCCTCGGTGTAAAGTACATGCATGCCGTTAGTGCGCTACAATCGGTATTATACAGACGGAAGAATACTTTGCTCTAATTGCCCAGCACGCAGGTGACAAATTAAGGATATATAAGGATCAGCTAAAAAATATACACGTTAAAAAAGAAAAGAAAAGCTGGTCTAAATAATATGCCACTATCAATGGAGCTTTCATTTTACAAATATATATTCAATAACAGATTTGAGATTTGCTACATTCTAATTTTCAGGGTCATATCCCCCTAAAATGATATTTCAGTTAGAGGTGGGATTTGGTGGAGCTATCAGCCCCCCCCCCCCCCACTACAATCCGGGCTATGTGCATTTTCCATCCTATCATGAAAAATGTAGCAGGAATCCCTCAAAATAAGGGTGGCGGCAGGTGGGCGGAGCTGGGAACTCAGTATAACCAGTTTCACCAATGGAGTCCCCAAGACACAGAAAAAAAAAAAAACGAGGTGACTTAACTCTGCAGCCTTCACCAAACCCTGAAATATGAACTTTAGCTGGACACACACGTATACATTTTCGTACGGGTATTTTCGTTTCAAGAATATTCGTTTGATTTTCGAATCGTTAGTGGGGAGGGTGAGATGATTGTTTGTTTTCAACTGCAGTGACGAGGAAAATTAGAAGGGGCAGGAAGGAAAGTTTTTCTCGATCAAACTAATTTTCAGCCAGGATATGTGGTGATCGTTCCTAAATTCCATTCATTTTAAACTCTAATGTTAAAAGAAAAAGACAATTTTTGAACGATATTCATCCATTCACTGAATGTTCAAAGAATTTCCGTACGACTATTCTCGTCCAAAAATCTACACGTGTATGGCCAGCTTTTGGGTAGAGGGACCCTTTAAAAAAAAAAAAAAAAAGAGTACCTTAAAGGGGACCTAAACATGGGTGTGTCACAGTAAAAGGTGCTGGACCTTAGGCCGGCCATACATGGGTCGAAAATTGACCGATTTTTTTTTTGTCCACAAATCGGACCTAAGAATAATTAGCCGATTTTCGCTCTGTTAGTGGGGTCAATGGCACCGGCTGATTTTCGTGGTTCCTCCCCTTTTCAACGATCGGGCATGTTGGAAAATTTGTGAAAAACGACCGATTTTTCAATGATGGTCAAATTGTACGATCGTTTTTCCAAAAAGAATATGCGCATGAGCCGTGACCTGAAGGAACAGAAGTTTCGCCTGTTATATGGGGTGAACTTTATGACTCGGTCGGGCCGATTTTCTAAATCAATGATGGCGCCATCGGATTACCGAGCGAACGACGTTTCCGATTTTCAGACGAAAAATCGTTCGGAATTCGAACCATGTATGGCCTGCATTAGTGTGCTTTATTATGAAACATTAATAGAAAACTCCACCAGGGAGCGTGTGACTTTACCAGAACAGACACATAGCTGGGCGGAGCTGGGAACCAGGTATGAAGATCTGATTGGCTCCATTGGCTGGGTCAGCGCCCTTGAGATAAGGATGATGATGGCATTTATAATAATGAAATCTGGAAGATCGATTAAAACAAATACAAGGTTTCATTTATCATCCACCCGCGATCGGTAGATGTTTGAGTCGTGCAGATTGAGCGATGTGCTTCCTCCCCATTCCCTGAGTCTCATATAGGCTCATTATTTATCCTGGAATCTGATTGGTGGGATAAGGGGATCACAATCTGGAATTTTTTTTTTTTTTTTTGTAATCCACTCTAGTACGGCTGGGACGTAACTCACAATACACTGTGCACCCCAAATACACATATACACATGGACGTGTCTTCTCATTCCCCAATCTGTATTCTGGGGTGCAGGTTATCACACCATACAATGACCTCACCAACACTACAACCTAGTCTCATCACACAGCACCCACGTTATACTCTACGGATCTCTGTACAGTAGCCTCTCGCCTCCTCCACGTGAATAAAACTCCACGATGTGCAGATCACACACCGGCTGGGAGCACCAGGACACAAACCGTCCAACACACACAATGCACACAACGCTCCGCCATCCATCCGGTGACACCAGTCAGCTCCTATTTGAATATAATGCTGAAATTTGAAATGGAAAAGGGCCACGAAGACTGGCTTAGCTTCACAATGATAGTATTTCTTTTGTCATTGATACCAGACTGGACTAGGTATACACCAATGTCAACTGCCCTTCTTCTGTGTCTAATCACCTTCTGTACCCAAATTACTTCGATTGTACCCCAATCCATCTCCATCCATCCTTTGGAACCCATAATCCCCCTCTTTACCTCAGTTTTACCCCAATCCCCCTCTGTCCCTCTATTGTACCCCTATTCTCCTCTGTCCTATTGCAAACTCCAATCCCCTTCTGTTCTTTCATTTTACACCCCAGTCCTGCTCTGTTCATCTATTGTACACCCAAATCCCCCTCTGTTCTATTGTACACCCCAATCTCTCGCCGCTGTGCTTCTATTGTACGCCCCAATCCCCATCTTTTCTTCTATTGTACAGCCAAATCCTGATCTGTCCCTCTACTGTACTCAAATCCCCATCTGTCCCTCTATCATACACCCCAATCTCCTCTATCCTTCTATTGTACACCCCAATCTTCTCTGTTCTTGTATAGTACACCCCAATCCCCATCTGTCCTTCTATTCTACACCCCAATCTTCTCTGTTCTTGTACAGTACACCCCAATCCCCCTCTGTCCTTGTATAGTACACCCCAATCCCACTCTGTCCTTGTATAGTACACCCCAATCCCCCTCTATCCTTCTATTGTACACCCCAATCTTCTCTGTTCTTGTATAGTACACCCCAATCCCCATCTGTCCTTCTATTCTACACCCCAATCTTCTCTGTTCTTGTACAGTACACCCCAATCCCCCTCTGTCCTTGTATAGTACACCCCAATCCCACTCTGTCCTTGTATAGTACACCCCCAATCCCCCTCTGTCCTTCTATTGTACACCCTAATCTTCTCTGTTCTTGTATTGTATACCCCAATCCCCATCTGTCCTTCTATTCTACACCCCAATCTCCTCTGTTCTTGTATAGTAAATCCCAATCCCCCTCTGTCCTTGTATAGTACACCCCAATCCCCCTCTGTCCTTGTATAGTACACCCCAATCCCCCTCTGTCCTTCTATTGTACACCCCAATCTCCTCTGTTCTTGTATAGTACACCCCAATCCCCCTCTGTCCTTCTATTATACACCCCAATCTCCTCTGTTCTTGTATAGTACATTCCAATCCCCATTTGTTCTTCTGTTGTACACCCCAATCTCCTCTGTTCTTGTATTGTACACCCCAATCCCCCTCTGTTCTTCTATTGTACACCCAAATCTCCTCTGTTCTTGTATAGTACACCCCAATCCCCTCCTGTTCTTCTATTGTACACCCCAATCTCCTCTGTTCTTGTATTGTACACCCCAATCCCCATCTGTTCTTCTGTTGTACACCCCAATCTCCTCTGTTCTTGTATTGTACACCCAACCACCTCTGTTCTTTTATTGTACACCCAATCCTCCTCTGTGCTCCTATTGTACACCCCCAATCCCCCTCTTTTCCTCTGCTGTACACCCCAATCCAAATCTGTTCCTCTGTTATACCCAAATCCCCCCTCTGCCCCTCTACTTTACTCTAACCTCCATGTTCTATATTCTACCCCAATCTTCCATCTTTTTCTCATGTATAACCCCCCCCCCCCCCCCCAATCCCTCTGTTACATTCTGATCCTCCCTCTGACCCTCTACTGTACTCCAATTCAATCTCTGTCCCTCTATCACGCTCCAGTCCTCCCTCTGTCCCTCTACTGTACACCAACCCCCCCCCCCCCTCTGTCCTTCTATTGTACCCCAACCTATCTCTCTGCCCCTCCACTATTTCCTAATTCTTCATATGGTGAACCCAAACTCTCTGTTTTGTACCTCAGTCTCTCCCTCCCTCAATTGTACCCCAATATCTCCTCCATGCCTTTACTGTATGTCAGTAACCCCAGTGTCTATACCAGGGGCAGACTGACCATTCGAGCACTCAGGCACTGCCTAAGGGCCCGGGGTCAGTAGGCGGCCCCATGAAATGCCCGGGGTCAGTAGGCGGCCCCATGAAATGCCCCTGGTACCTTTTATAGGCTTTGAGTGTGGGCAAGGACACGGGGGCCCCATGATCCCCATTTGCCCGGGGGACCCATGAGTTGTCAGTCCGCCCCTGGTCTATACTGATACCAACACACATGACCTTCAACAGGAGATGGACATTTTAGCAGGGACTGTCCAAGCCAAGAGCTGATGGGCTCCAGGTTTTTCTGCTTCTCAGGAAAGCAGAGGGGTTTCAGGTTGGGGGCTTGGTGGGATCTAGCACCCTCCATCTTTGGGGATTTTAGTCTGTGTGCATTTTGAATAAGCTGGATTTCAGTTTTTTGATATTTGTAGCACCTAAAAAAGGAAGCTCAGTGGGTCCAAATCCTTCAAATACCATTGTAGGAGGTGGTGTTCTCAGCCTTCCATTCATCACCATTGAGGACCATAGCATAAAGGAGCCCATGACTGCATGCGTTTGCCATGACATTTTTATACATAGGGAGCAATTTCTGGATTATTCATCTTCTCTGCCATGGTGTCTGGGCGTCAGGACTGGAGGCATAGTTCCTGAATTGGGCAATCTATGAGCATCTGATTGGTGACAAATCCTAAGTCGGAGAGGTAATGGTCAGTGTGAGGCCAATATGGCTGCCAGGAGCTCCACTCCCTTCACTTCCAGACTCCATATAAACCCCCAACATTCCCCATCTTATCACTTGCTGCATCCCATCTCACTTCACTCCAGTTCCTAGTACACACCATTTCTAGAAGAAACCAGTTTAAACCGCTCACTGAACTCTTATTAACATTATACGATCGGCGAAACTGGTGCAATGGTGTGACCGGACAGGAAATGACATCACTTCCTGCTATACTGCCATTTATACTGCCTTCCATATTCCTGTCTGTCACATACCTAGTCCATTTAGCTAAGGGTCCTAGCCCACCATACTTCCATAAATGTTTGATTCCAGCATACTGTACCCTACACCTGACCACACCCACATGGAAGAAAAATATATTTGAAATGCTACAATTTTGGCCATATTCAATATATTTCAAAATATATTTCAGTAAATTATATATATATATATATAAATATATATATATATATATATATATAAATATATATATATATACTGCATGTTGAAATGCATTATTTTTACAAAACTCATGAAAAATATTTTTAAAAGTACATTTAAAATATACTGTATGTCTTTAAAAAATACAAATCTACATTTTTCAAAATATGTTTAATATATTTTGTAATAACAACACATTGCAACATGTGTGTGTGTGAGAGTGTGTTTTTTTATATATATATTATATATATATATATATATATATATATATATATATTACCCTACCCGTGACCTCCGCTCCTCAGAGGACCTCCTACTCTCTAGCTCCCTGGTCTCCTCCTCCTCCCACACCCGATTGCAGGACTTCTCCAGGACTTCCCCCATCCTCTGGAACTCCCTACCCCAATCCATCAGACTGTCACCTACCCTCCTCACCTTCAGGCACACCCTGAAAACCCACCTCTTCAGGGAAGCCTACCCCAACCTCACCTAACACCCGACCTCACCTAACAACTAACCTCCTCCACTCCTCCCACCACTCCATCCCCCACAGCCATCTCCTCCTGTGCCACCCTCCCCTCCCTCCTAGATTGTAAGTTCGAAAGAGCAGGGCCCTCGATCCCCTCGTGTATTGTATTGTCTCATGTTCTGTCCCCCTTGCTACTGTACAGCGCTGAGCAAACCCTTTGGCGCTGTATAAATACTGTATAATAATAATAATATATATACATACATGCACATAAACATACATACATATACATACACTTCATGTTGCAATGTGTTGTTATTACAAAATATATAAAAAATATTTTTAAAAATACATTTCAAATATACTGTATGTCTTTAAAAATACAAATCTACATTTTTGGAATGCATTTACAAATATATGTTAAAATGACTTTTTTTATATGTTAAAAAAAAATCTAAAGAAAATATTTAAAAAATATATATATATTTAAAAATATATATTTTTTAAAATATGCGCTTGAGATTTTTTTTTAACATATAAAAAAATCATTTTAACATATTTTTTTACATATTTTGTAAATGCATTCCAAAAATATAGATTTGTATTTTTAAAGCCATACAGTATAGTTTAAATGTATTTTTAAAAATATTTTTCATATATTTTGTAAAAATAACGCATTTCAACATGCAGTGTATATATATATATATATATATATATATATATATATATATATATATATATACACACAATGAGGAACAGAAATATTTGAACACCCTGCGATTTTGCAAGTTCTCCCCCTTAGAAATCATGGAGGGTCTGAACTAAATTCTTTAAAAATCATACAATGTGATTTCCTGAATTTTTTTTAAAATTCTGTCTCTCAGAGTGGGAATGCACCTACAATGTGAATGTCAGACCCCTCCATGATTTCTAAGTGGGAGAACTTGCAACTTGAACTTGTTCAAATACTTCTGTTCCTCACTGTGTGTGTGTGTGTGTATATATATATATATATATATATATATATATATATATACTTTTTTTTTTTTAAATTAGTCATTTTAATAGTTATTTTTTTAATTTTTTTTAAATATATTGAATATGGCCAAAATTGTAGCATTTCAAATGTATGGCAATATATTTGGGAAGAATATTTTTAAAATAGATTTCAAATATATTTTTCTTCCATATGGGCAGTCCTGACGTTTGAACCTCTCTGCAGACTATCCTAGGCTTCAGTTACCGGTCTCTTCTTCTGCTGGCCTCCATTGCTCATGCTTCCCCAATTCACCTCCCTGACCTCTCTTAATGTGTTCTGACCTCCATACTCCTCTTCTCCAGCCTCTGTTCTCCTACTGGTCTCCATGCATTTCCTCTTTTAGGGTCCTCCCTGCACAAATTCCAATACTGACCTCTATGGCTCATCCTTTATATCTGGTCCCCCCTCACCTTCCTCTTACTTTCTATACCCCAATTGGCCTCCCTCATCCTCTCCCATAGGTTTCCCATTTTACCTTCTTACAACTGTCCTGCCTGAGATCTCTCCCTCTACTGGCCTCCCTTATGTGTACTCACGGATTTTCTTCTCCAATGTATGAAATTCCAGCAGTTGTGTTCTTTGTGGGAAATCATATAGAGTCCCTGTGTGCAGAAGATGGAGTTTTTATGTACTAAGGTTGGGGTCTTTGCACACTGAGGATGGCATCTCTGCATACTAAGAATGGGGTCTCTGTGTCCCAAGAATGGGGTCTGTGCATACTGAGGAAGCTGTCTCTGTGCACTGAAAATGGGGTCTCTGCATCTACTGAGAATTGGTTCTCTGTGTATATTGAGAATGTGGTCTCTACATAATGAGAATAGGGTCTCTGAATATTGAGAACGGGGTCTCTGCATACTGAGAA